GGAGAGCAGTATTTATGTTTAGCCATCTTGGAAAGATTGAGTTTTTAAGGTTGGGAAAGATCGTTAGATGTTCTCCAGCACTACCATCCATGTTTACTTTAGTTAACACAGAGCATGCTGGCTTGTGATGTCATTGCGTCCTCTACTGCGCATAGGCTGTATGAATGCAGTTCACACAGGAGATCGCATACAAGTCCCAAATATATGAAAATGTGAACGGCAATGCAAACAAGTCAGATTTCACAAAAAAATCGGAATTGAGCCTCAAGGCTTGCAGTGTGCATGGTGTGTGGGAGCTACATCAATCTTGGTGTTGATTTTCTGGCCTGTCCTATTTAGGGTTGTCAAAAATATCTGTACCCTAAAACTAATTAGGAACGGTATCAATAGTAGGAAGTGTTGTTAATTGTTAATTTCCCAGACAGAGACACCTGTGGAGCTAATTTACCCTTTCGAACATTGAAAGTATTTATTTTTCAGTGCTTCTATGTTCCTTTTCTATTTAGCTTTTGTCTTTTTGAACCCCCACTCTGCCTCAGCAGAAGGGAACTCACACTGAGCCTGGCTCTGGTTCTGGTGGAGGGGTTTTTTCCTGTTAGAAAGGATTTTTTCCCTCCCTCTCTGAAGGATTGCCGTAGAGTCAACAAGGCAATGCAAGTGCACATCTACTGTCTCTAGCTGCTCACCCAGGAAGAGGGAAACCTGTAAAGTCAATAACTGGAAGGAATCAGCTGCTTCTCCTTAGACAGAAAGATGATCTGATTGAAATATCTCAGGAAAGTAACCTGAGATTATATTTGTTGTGAATTGGAGCTATAGAAATAAACTGAAAGGAGTTGTTCCTATTGCAACCCAGCGAGCTCACTGTGTGTCCTACAGGGTCAGGTCAGACCTTTAACTGTCTTTTCAATAGATATCAGACTACTTATACCTCAGTAAACCAGCTGCAGGAACCAAATGTATTTCCAGAAATGGCATTTCCCTCATCATAATGAAGCTAGGCCTATTTCAAATCCTTTCATCCTGCTTATGTTTTTGTTTGGTTAGATGAGCTGTGAGAAGACTTTACCAACCTGTGATTGTGGCATGGATGTTGTTTTTTTCAATCAGCAAGTACCTAGGGCTCTCCGGGAACCATGGCAACAGCAGCAGCTGGATGAAGGTTGGGACCACCACCACTGAAAGAAAGAGGGGCCAATACTCCTCCTGTAAGAGGGGAAACAGTGCCGATCAGAGAGCCGTGGGTGTAAGGAGACTGATGCTAAGACTGACTGACTGAAGGAGCAGAGAGGAATGATGTCGGCAACAAACAGAGGTATTCAAAGTATTCATGCTTATTACTTCAGTATAAATTCCATTGTTTAAAAACACTTTCCAGAAGTTAGAGGATCAACTTCAACTTTTTATTCCTGTGAAAGAGTAAAAGTAGCATTTTTAAGACTACTTAAAGTATAAAAGTAAAAGTAATGCAGTAAAAAATGTTAAGGGTGGCAGCTTTACTGCACTACCCTATCAAAGGAACATTTTCTACAATTCTGTATGATAACTTCCTTAGAATTAATTTTCTTAGTTTTATAACTAATGGTAAC